GAGGCAATTCACCTCCAATGCTTTATCAAATTGTTTGTCTACTTTAGCAGTCGGAAAAGTAGTAGCAAGGCAGAGTCGTTCTTTGTGGGGATGTTCGCCGGCCAAATCGCATCTGTCATAATTTGCCACTGGAAACAGACCTCAAACCTACCCCGTGGGATCGCTGACTAGCATAAACGTGTGTTGCATTATGCTTTGCATGTTGACTTTGTGACCGGCCTGATACGCAGCAGCCACTTGAGGTAAAGCAGTTCTATCTGCCCTCCGACTGCCAGCGACCTTGCCTTGTCCTCTAACTTCATAGAGTGCTGCTAAGATAAGAGCATTATTTCTGGTCATAAGCTCTTTGGACTTGTGCAGGGAAAACACGCTTATTTTTAACCACGAGTTGTTCTCTTCACCAAAATGTGATTAGGTGGGCTCGTTCATATGTGTCTATTCCAAGAGCAGTTCCATAGGTTGCGGAGTTTCTGGGGCAACTCCTCAGCTGGTATGATGCCATCCTTTCACATACTTCCAGGGGATTACCTCGCTTCATGTCAGCTTAGATCCTAGGCCACTTATTGTTGAAGACAGTGTTAAATTTTCCCTTGCCAGAAATGCTCAGAGTAAGGCACCTTGTCTCCAAGAATGACGTTTCTCCCAGGTATGATGTCCTCCTTTGGGAGTGACAAAGTGAACGAGGTGAACCTCAACTGAGAACTGGCCTTCAGAGCCTTTCTCTTCTGAAGAGAATCCTGAAGAAGGATGAAGGGACAGTTTATTAAAATCCATGTTATGTACAATATATACAAGGTACAGTTCTGCATTTGCTTGCAATATGACAAATGAGTACGTGAGGAAGATGATGAGTTGCGGCAACCAACTTTTTTTCTAATCTGGGAGCCATATGCTAACATAGGACGTGGTTGTTCTGGGCAACCAGAGGTATGCACAGAAGGTAAAACACACTGCTCTTGCAGATGAGTACCTTGTGCTGCCTTCACTCTCTGATTAGGTCTGGTGTCCTTAAATAAGGAAAAGTCCTCCAAGATATGAGGAGAGAAATAACGATCTTGCTGAAACTCCACGGGCATTTTTATTTCTTCTGATGCGTTTGAAAACTACCTTGTGTGCAAAATGGAGGGGTGTCTTTCCATATGCATGAGAGTTGACAGCCAAATACAGACATGCTGATGAGCAGTGTGTGTTATAAGCTCTCCGAGGCCTCGACTGCCATTACCTTGGTAATGTGAGACTTTTTGGAGTACTAAGTTGCAACTAGAGACCATCGAAGCTGGAGGAGGAAAAGGCCCTTATGGAGGTTCCTCATGAGAAGGAATCACATGCTTTGTTCTGTGTAGAACAAAGAAAGTCTATCACTGCTGTTTAATTCTAATTACATCCAGAGCGTTCTCATCTCAGCCAGTTTCAGCCATCTAAAGATGGAAGTGCCTGTCCTTCAGTAGTATATTTATCATAAAAAGTCTGTTTCCAAAGGAATTAACAGATATGAAATATATAAATCCAGCTAAAACTCTTTAATGCACAATGTCTGGGTGCCTGTGCTCCAGCATCCGCACACGAGATTCATGGCAGCCACCTGGAACAGAGCAAAATTTAAACCTTCTCGTCAAATCCGGATTCGCATCCCGCTTTCCCTGTACTGCAGTAATGCTCAGACACCCCCTGATTTATAAAGGGTTTTGCTCTCTGTGAGTACGGTGGTGTCCTTATCGTTTGTGTCGTGGTTTTAGGCTGATCCAGCAACTAAAACTCACACAGTCTCTCCTTCTCCAGTAAAGTAGAGAGGAGGGAAAAAAAAAACCACAAAGGGACTGAGGGTTGAGACAAGAACAGAGGGAGCACCCACCAACCATGGTCCTGGGCAAAACAGACTGGGCTTTCTCAAAGCAAAACAGTTTATTAATGATTACTTAGAAGGACAAAGGGAAACAAAAACCGATTACTCGAGAGGACAGAAAGAAACAAAACCAGATCTTAAAACCGACACCTTCCCCCCCCCTTTCCTTTTCCTCCTGGCTCTACCTCCTCCCCCCAGCAGCACAGGGGCAGGAACTGGGGGAGTGCAGGTCAG